CTTGTATTTTGCAAACGTGTTATGTAATAACCTTTTTTTTGTGGTTTAGTATGGTATTTAATCAAGTGCGAACAAGGTGCTCAAGTTTAGGTTAGATATTGTACTCAGTTCGCTCTCTCACAGCTTTGATGAACATCGAAACCATTAGTTGGATAATGTGCGTTCGTTCGTGGAGGAATGTATGTGAATAAAGCTACCTGAAGGTGTTGGATTTGAAGAGTAAAAAGATAAATGAGCTTCTGTTGTGGTGGTGCATCTCTGATACTCCTGATGTTCTGTGCAGTGAGACGCAGAGTCCTCTAAAATGCAGCGGGACGCACAAACTCTGCAGCCTCCGAACTGGGATGGATGGTTTGTATTTCATTTATGGAACTTCATTTACTATATTACTACTTCACCTCGATCGCGTGTTCGGTGAGTGTGCTTGTGTCTTCTGTCCAGGGAGTGACCTGATTCCAGCCTGAGTACCAACAGTTCGACAAGTGGGGATCTGGTCCCGGGTTTCGAGGGCCGCCACTGCCTTATAGTCCTCATATCCACTCATTGTGGAATAGTGTAGGACTTCGAGAAAGAGTTCTTAAGTCGAAACCCAACCATTGGTTTTTCATCCACTGTTCAGCTTTGAGAGTTGGTTTATTTTAGTACAAGGCAGGCAAACGACTGACTACAGCTAACTACATTGGTTTTTTTTGTAATACCTTTGTCTATTCTAAATTAGCAAGAATTCTGTCAATTCATAAAACGTTAGCTTTGAGATATTGCACGATTGATATTTAATCCATTTGGATACTTTAATTGTTTAATTAAGCAACTAGGCAGGTTTTTTGTTCGATTATATATGGTCGCTTAAGAAGCTACTTTCTTTGTGTTCCCCTTTAAATTGATCTTTCTGTTGTATTCTAAATACTCATTAAGATTTGTGTTCATAACACAACATTGTCATACTGTTATTACATATTCTTACTAGTTGTTTATTTTAATGACAGTTTCAGGATATTTTACCTCTGTTGGCTTTGTGTACCAGTTGTTTAGTGTTGTATGAATTACGGTTTTCACATTATTTGAATAAAACACACAACGATTTTCCCGTCTGGTTGAGCAGATAAAACGAGAATGTTTTTCGCACCCCCGCCTTCAGCCAGACCGCCACTACCAATTACTGGACGTGCCTCCGCTCAAACAGAACACCAAGAATGGTTCTGAAACATTACTGGTGATATTTTCCATGTCTTGTGAATATTAAACATTGTCAAGTATCAAAACGCTCTTAATCGTACTGTTTCCTTTTATGAGCCCCCAGGAGTTAGTTACGTCATCATCAATCAATCAATCAATGTTTTTTTATATAGCCAATTTACAATGTTATTTGTCTCAGTGGCTTCACAGCTCTTGTACGATTCGTTATGACATACGACACCTCTGTCCTTAGACCGCACTCGTTCAAGGGAAAAACTTCCAGAGAAAACAGCGTTTAAAGGACAATGGGAGAACTCAGGGAGGCAAAGTGGCCTTCGTGAGCTCTGAATAATATTAGGTAGGACCATACATAGCGCGAGTATTTATACTTTTATTTTTCAATACCCAACAGATCATGATTTTGCCTTCCTCATTTGCTCAATTTAACCCTGTCTGTGCATGGGTGATTCTGTGAGAACGCACCATTTACAGGCTGGTATATGTACTACAGCGTCTCCAGCGGCTTTCGACGGGCAATGTCGGTGGCTGTCTCTCCTCCTGTTTGCGGTGGAGTGGCCATAGCCGTGCGCCACTTCTGTGACGTCATAGAAAGTGTTCAAATCTGATCAGTTTATCAGTCCGTTGCAGCCCTTTTTATCGTCCATAACCAGATCTGGTAGGAAAAGGGGCTGCAACGGATCTGATACAGGGACTGATCCAGAATTTGAACACTTCTTATGACGGCACAGAAGTGGCGATACGGCTATTGGGGCCAACTCCACCATCAGGAGGAGACAGCCACGGCATGGCGTTCGAAAGCGCTGGCGACGCTTAGTACATATACCGGGCTGTAGGATGGTGCTGTTCTCACGAATCAGCCCATGCACAGACCAGGGTAAATTGAGCGAAATGAGGAATGGCTAAAATGCATGATCTGTTTGGTATTTTGAAAAATAAAAAGTATAAATATGCCTTATGTATGGTCCTACACTATATTATTCAAATATAGCATGATAGGTCCACTTTGCTCTCCCTGAGGTTTCTCCCATTTTTCCCTTTAAACTGTGGGTTTTCTCTGGAAGTTTTTCCTTGAACGATGTGAGGGTCTAAGGACAGAGGGTGTCGTATTGTCATACTGATATTCTGTACAAACTGTGAAGTCCACTGAGACAAATGTAACATTTGTGATATTGGGCTATATAAATAAACATTGATTGATTGATTGATTGACTTTAACTTAACTCCTGGCGGCTCATCTAAAGAAACAGTTACTGATTAAGAGCGTTTTGATACTTTGACAATGTTTATATATCATCTAGACCTGCTTGAAAATATCACCTTAAATGTTTTCAGAATCCATTTTGGTGTTCTGTTTGACTGAGCACTCACAGTAATTGGTAGTGTCTTGAAAGCTTTGCAATAAATACATTCTCGTTTTTATTCTGTCAACCAGACTGGGATTGTTGTGTGTTTATTCAAATAATTTGTGAAAACCTGTAATTCATACAACACTAAACACTGTAACAAAGCAACAGATGGTAAAATATCCTGCAACTGTCATTAAAATAAACAACTAGTAGAATATGTAAGTAACAGTATTGACAATGTTTTATGTTATGAACACAAATCTTAATGAGGTATTTAGAAATACAACAGAAAGATCAATTTTAAGGGGAGACACAACAGGTAAATAGCTTCTAATCGACAATATATATCAACAAAAAAGCCTGCCTAGTTGCTTACATTAAGACAATTAAAGTTTAGTCAAATGGTATGTTTAAATATGCAAATCGTGCATTATCTCACGCTAACTTTTTATGAATTGAGCAGTAATTTGCTAATTTAGAAATAGACAAAGGTTATTAACAAAAAAAACCTAAATGTAGTTACTGTAGTCAGTCGTTTTCCTGTTGTACTAAAATAAACTCAACTCTCAAAGCTGAACAGTGTATGAAAAAATCAATGTTGGGTTTCGACTTAAGAACTGCTTTTCTCTGAAGTCCTACACTATTCCACAGATGAGTGGATATGGAGTGACTATAAGGTGCAGTTGGCGGCCTCGAACCCGGGACAGATCCACTTGTTGCTGAACTGTTGGTATCCCTCAGCGCTGATCAGGTCACTCCCTGAACAGAAGACACAGCACACGTCAGCGAACACTGATCGAGGTGAATTAGTAATATAGTGAATGAAGTTCCATAATGAAATACAAACCATCCATCAGGTTCTGGAGGCTGCAGTAGTTTGTGCTGTCCTCCGCTGCATTTTTAGAGGACTCTGCGTCTCCCTGCACAACATCAGGATATCAGAGATGCACACCACAACAGAAGCTGATTTATCTTTTTAACTCTTCAATCCAACACTTTCAGTAGCTTTAATTCACATAATTTCTCCACAATCGAACGCACATTATCCAACTAATGGTTTCGATGTTTCATCAAAGCTGTGAGATACTTGAACTGAGTACAATATCTTAACCTAAACTTTGACACTCTTTGTTTGCATTATTAAATTACCATTTACTATTTAGACTCACAAAAAAAAGGTTATTACTATACAGTTTGCAATAAATACAAATGTTCTTTTAACAGAGTTGAAGTTTCGTATGAGCATTAGCCTGTTGTATCATTCAGAAAAAGGATACTTACAGTCAGTTTGCAGACCATGGACTGCTCTAGGAGAAACTGGAGGTCGGTGACCTTCTTTGAATCTGGAGACGTGTGCGTGGCTTTCACCAGGTAAGGAGCTGTGGACACAAGCTGCAGAGCATTTCTCATTCAGTCAGGTCAGAGACACTTTCTACACAACATAATGCCAAATAAGCATCAACAACAAGGTCATTCTACACAGAAATTAGCACTTGTTTGTTAATGTGCATCATTTTGTCATCAATTACAAATGATCCTATGAAGACATAAATCATTACAAGTGTGATTATGCCCACACTGAGCAGTTATATATACTGTATTTACATTAAAAAAAACAATTGTATCTTCAACTACATCCAACAACCAAACAATTTAACAAATGTTGATGCTACATAGTTGGGGTAAGTAAATTGTGAACTAGAGATGGTACAACATGTTCCCACATCTGTTGCCCAAGATGTGAAAGAATAGGTGAATGACATATTTAAGATTGTAATTGTTACGCAGAGTACTGCTGATGCTACTGCAGGCAAGTATAGCTTTATGTATGTATGTCACTTGTGAACAAATTAAAATGCACATTTGGATTCATTTGTATTTCTAAACACTATAATATTTACATCATTTGGTGGCTGCCTGGATTCTAACTTTAGGTTGAATGAATGCTGAAAATGTGGATTATTTTTACAGAAATACCATATTTATAATACTTAATTCTCAATGAATGGGTTGACTGCTGTGTTTCTGACCTCGTAGGAGCACCTCTCTCCTTCATAGTGACAGCTCTGCCCGATCTGCAAGGCTTTGATCTGGTTCACCAGCTTTTCAGTCACATCTGCGCACGAGATGCCAAACATCCTGCAGGGCAGAGCAGTGGGCGTCAGTTGGTACTGCAACACTTGCTTAAGGGTGTTCAAAGCATCAGGAAATAAAATAAAATATAACATTTAGATTCTTTTGATCTTCGTTTTCTGCACGAACATGATTAACTGAGTCCTGTCGTCTCCCAAGATAAAATGCATGAGAATTGTGGCTGCACAGTTCTTTGAATTCCTAAGTACCTTGTCTAACATGCGTTTGACCCTTTTCCACAGCAGGTTTCACGCATCCCAAAAACCACCATAAAGCTTTATCTGTCCAGCTGGTCACATGTTGCACAATTTACTCTGTGACACTAACATCTGCAGCGTGAACAAATCACTGACAGAGGGGCCAAAAGTATCAGGGGCCTGTATGGTATTCCCCTACAGAATGTCCCTCACAAGGAGACACATTTAGATGTCTGTAAAACTGACTTCAAAGAAAATCTATTACAAGGGTAAAAATACAACTACAAAGAAACACAAAACATTCAAAGAGACACACAACAACAAAGAGACACAAAACATTCAAAGAGACACACAACAACAAAGAGACACAAAACATTCAAAGAGACACACAACAACTGCAAAGAGACACAAAATGAATTAAAAGAGAATCTTAACACCTTCAAATATAATCAAAACAACTACAAAGAGACAAACAAAATTACCACAATGATACAAAAATTAAAAAAAGGCTACACATCAATCAAATCTGTGTGGTCTTGTATAGAGATGGGGCATTTTGCATCTCTGTGGCCTGGGCGCGTCTATCGTTTTTCCAACCCAGTTTAGATTTAACCACGCCCACTTCCGCATTACGCAAGGATCGAAGTAGCTCTACGCGATAGCGTCATAGACTTCATCTTCGGCAGTTTAGCGGTCGCGGTAAAGCAGGATATTGAATAGTTGTTTTTTGTCTTTCCAAAGGATTTGTTGACGTAAACGATCCTATCATCAAAGCCATATCGAAGAGTCTTGAGATTTTATTATTGGTGTTTCATCATCTATAAATAGCCTGTGTCTATCCTCAAATGTCGTTTAAAACGTTTTAAATATCTTATCAGCTGGTGTAAATGCAGAATATTGAATATAACCTTGACTATTACTGTGTATTTCATTCATCTG